TCAGGACAAGGAGGCACTATATACACCACAGATGAGGGAGCAGACAAGAGGCATCTGGGATCATCCACACGAGGGCTGAAATGAGAGGCAGGGTTAAATGAGAAACAGGTGTGGCTTGTTTCTGCCACACCACAGGGAACACGGGGGAAAAGGGATGTGGGGTGTGACACCTGTCTGGATGATTATCACCCAATTGCTTTCAACCCTCATTATCACCAAGTGTTTTTAAAGACTGATTCTATCTCACATCAAGGCTGCTATCCCTGCTGGTTTCAATCATCAGTTTGCCTATCGGACAAAAAGATCAATAGACAATGCAGTTGTTAACTGCTCTTCACACAGGCCATAGACACCTGAAACAGCAAGACACGTACGTAAGCACACACACACACACACACACAGATAGACCGTCCATTCATTTCAATGGGCAAAACCCTAATCCCAGAAATGACAACCTAAAGATTCCCCCTAAAGGAATCTGAGTGCCAGTCAAAGATGCATGTGAACATATTTGTGGGTTTAATAACTGCATTTTATGCCAAGACCTCAGCCCCCCTAAGCCCACAAAGCTCAGTTCCAGAAGTCCAGCTGTCCACTGAGGACCTGTGTATACAAAACACCTAAAGTGAATGACTGGGTCCCATTCTGGGTTCTAAAGTCAATGACTGGGTCCCAGTGAAAGGAGAAGCAAGAATCATGCCTAAGATTTATAACTTCTGCCTGTGGAGGGTTAAGGCTGAATGCTAAAGAGGTACACATAGGATTATAGGTTTATCATATCAATGCAATCCCTGTGTCTTCTCACTGACTGCAGATAAATGTCTGATAACGTGTATTTGGTTCTCTGACTGTGTACACAGTTACCTTCCTTTAGGCAGGCTGGTGAAACTCAGTGTGGGTAAAAACAGCTTATTGGGGAGGAGTGATTAGAGCCCTGGGCTCTTAGGCTTGATTTACTGGCACCTATTCATCATTGTAAAACTCTCTCTGGTTTACGGTTTGGGGCCAAAAGCAAAAAGCAGCTATAAATTATAGCTGATGCTCTCAGTTATCTAAAATGTTACAACAATCCTCATATTCTAGTTCTGAAATCTGTATTATACACTCACCTAAAGGATTATTAGGAACACCTGTTCAATTTCTCATTAATGGAATTATATAATCAACCAATCACATGGCAGTTGCTTCAATGCATTTAGGGGTGTGGTCCTGGTCAAGACAATCTCCTGAACTCCAAACTGAATGTCAGAATGGGAAAGAAAGGTGATTTAAGCAATTTTGAGCGTGGCATGGTTGTTGGTCCAGACGGGCCGGTCTGAGTATTTCACAATCTGCTCAGTTACTGGGATTTTCACGCACGACCATTTCTAGGGTTTACAAAGAATGGTGTGCAAAGGAAAAAACATCCAGTATGCGGCAGTCCTGTGGGCGAAAATGCCTTGTTGATGCTAGAGGTCAGAGGAGAATGGGCCGACTGATTCAAGCTGATAGAAGAGCAACTTTGACTGAAATAACCACTCGTTACAACCGAGGTATGCAGCAAAGCATTTGTGAAGCCACAACACGCACAACCTTGAGGCGGATGGGCTACAACAGCAGAAGACCCCACCGGGTACCACTCATCTCCACTACAAATAGGAAAAAGAGGCTACAATTTGCACGAGCTCACCAAAATTGGACAGTTGAAGACTGGAAAAATGTTGCCTGGTCTGATGAGTCTCGATTTCTGTTGAGACATTCAAATGGTAGAGTCAGAATTTGGCGTAAACAGAATGAGAACATGGATCCATCATGCCTTGTTACCACTGTGCAGGCTGGTGGTGGTGGTGTAATAGTGTGGGGATGTTTTCTTGGCACACTTTAGGCCCCTTAGTGCCAATTGGGCATCGTTTAAATGCCACGGCCTACCTGAGCATTGTTTCTGACCATGTCCATCCCTTTATGACCACCATGTACCCATCCTCTGATGGCTACTTCCAGCAGGATAATGCACCATGTCACAAAGCTCGAATCATTTCAAATTGGTTTCTTGAACATGACAATGAGTTCACTGTACTAAAATGGCCCCCACAGTCACCAGATCTCAACCCAATAGAGCATCTATGGGATGTGATGGAACGGGAGCTTCATGCCCTGGATGTGCATCCCACAAATCTCCATCAACTGCAAGATGCTATCCTATCAATATGGGCCAACATTTCTAAAGAATGCTTTCAGCACCTTGTTGAATCAATGCCATGTAGAATTAAGGCAGTTCTGAAGGCGAAAGGGGGTCAAACACCGTATTAGTTGACCCCCTGGCTCAATCCGGCTGGGCTGTAGCATCCCATCCCAGTCCAGTCGGGACTCTCGCTTTTGTCGATTATTAGTTGTTCCTAATAATCCTTTAGGTGAGTGTATATCTATATTATTAGATTTGATGACAGCAGACTGAAAAGAGCACTTTAAAAATCATTCAGACAGTAGATAATAAAAATGTATGAAAAAAACACATGGTCAAAAGCCATGAATGTCTATTTTTAATTCAGTGCACAGGTTCTCTACAACATACTTAAAAAATAGAAAACACAACACTTCAAAAAAAAAAAAAAAAAGAAAGAATAATAATCATTATAATAAAAATAATAGAAAGCCACACCTGCCACACTGAACACACAACCACAATGCTTATGCAGCTACTTTTGGAGTAGGATATTGTCAAAACCAAACATTTGTATATGTTATACAAACCTTGTATGATTGATCAGAATTGGCTAGATATATAATAATGTTACAAAAATAACTCACAATGATGCTGTACAGCTTGACTGCTGCTGTGTTTTAATCACTACACCAATGCATTCAATTTCCTTCTGTACAGGTGACACAGAGTCTCCAACTGAATGAAATGACCCTGCTGCTCATCCTGGCAAAGACCAGCAAGCAAGTGTGAAACAGCCTCGCTCTATCAGAGTCACTCACCTTGTTTTGTAGGCCTGCAATTTCAAGAGCAAAAATATGTCAGGCTGCAAACCATCTAACTTATTGCTGAATTGTCAAAAAAAAACTGAACATGGACACAATTTCCCAATTCACTGATAATGAATTACCAAGGTCAGCGTGTGAACATGGAGCAGGCAATATCACGATCAGGTACCTGATCATGGCACCAGTAATATCACGATCAGGTACCTGCTTGACGATGAGGTTTCCTTTCTTGTTCAGACTTACATAAACATCAGAGAAACATAAAGGAGCAAGCGTCAGTCTCACTAGAGCGTATGAAGCAGCAAAAGGCTGTCGACTGCTGATTGAGTCTATTCAGTAACAGAACACTTAAGTTTTTCCTGGTAGTCATGCAATATACATTTGGCCCAGAGCAAGAAAAGAAAAAGTCATAACTTCCAGAAACATCCTTGCATGCTCCCACCTCATTGGCCATGCAACAGTGCTCCAGTTAGGCAGTTTTCACTGTCCACACAGACATAAGCGAAGTGCACACATCGTCAGTGAGGAGTCATGTGACACTTGCTTGCAGAAGGACAGAAGAATGTGTGATCAAAGTTGGCATCCAGATCACTTATTTTTTTAGTCCACTGCAAGTTTGGGTCTTATATGCCTACCATACCTTTGCAATTACTGGATTACGTCACTCACATAACATGCAGAAGCACTGTCCAGGGTGACAGTAAAGGTCCTTGATGTCCAAAGGTCACAGCGGCACACATGTGAACACAAATACTATAAACTGTTTATGTGATCCATCTGACTCAAGAGCATATCCAGCCCTTTCCAGTTATACAGTGACCCACTTACAATGTAAGGACAGAGATAATGGGCTGTGAAGTTGTGATGACAGTTATGAATACAGCACTACTGCATATCACAGGTTTAATACCTTTGCACAAAAACTTCAAATTGATGCATAATAAATAAATAAAATTCATAAGGAGCTTGACAAAATTCTCGCACATCACTATGCTCCTATTTAGTGCTGACAGGAAATTCATAAAAGGGGCCATCTTTGATTTGCTGTCACACTACTGTTGTCCAATCTGGCAGAATCTGCATCCATGTGATTCAAAACCCACATGGTGCTCTTTCACTTGTTTCATTGATCAAAAGGAGTTTCTTTTAAAACTAATGTTTAATAAAAGACATCACATTGTTGAGAAAGCCTGACTAACTGATAGATGAAACATCCTTATTTTCAGGGGTTTTATTATGTTTACTGCTGTTTCCCGTTGGTCCTGCAGGTGGCAGTAGGTACAACTCTCTCTCTCTTGGCTCCTCTGACAATGATGATAACTTCATATCAGTGTGAACTTTCAGAGAGCTTCCAGAAGGTTCACAGGGGCCAGAATGGCAAAAATGCATAGAATTTGGAAAAGACCAGGTTCTGTGAAGACTTTACAACAGCTGTGTGTTTAGTCTCTGTCTTGGTTTAATCCATACCAACACACTTAATAAATGAACAGAAAAAATAAGGACATCCCAAAGCTTTAACATGATGACAGAGCCCAGTCACTTAACTGCAGGACTCCCAGTGTGTGACACAGAGTACAGGGAAGTAATCCAAACCAGAGACTGAGCCCCCCCAGAGTCTCACTTGAATTCTAAAGATCTCAATGGCACTCTCTCAGTGCAGCCCTGACTCGACATGCCATGAGAAAGCATTATTTACCAGTAGAATGATCGCTGCTGCTCCAACTGTCTTTCTCACAAGGAATATCAGTCCAGCTGTGCATTCTGGGAGTAAGGAGTTTGTCTTTAAAGGTAACCATGGGCTTTTTGTGAACAGGTGCCCAGAATGGTGTGTGTGATACAGAAATACTAAGTGTTAAAGAAATCACCAAAAATCCCTAAAAGGGGAACAACTGCCATGGCAACATCCAAGGGCAGACCAAGACCAATGTTTCCAATTTAGGTCAGAGAGTGCTCTTTTTCCACCAAAAGTCATTAGTGTCTTAAGAGTGGGAGTTGATGTAGGATAGCTCATGAGGTGGGGCTTGGGGTGTGGGGCTCAGCCTAAGGATCCAGCCCAGGGCAGATGCAGGACAGTCTGGAAGATGTCAGAATCATTGTGTTAGGTGTCAGAATCATTGCTGGTAGCCCTAATATGAGGGCTACTCCACACATCCTGATTGCAGACCCAAGGCTGGAGGATCCAGGCAAGTGGGGGAATAGTTGATGTGCGGCTCCTTGATCCACAGAAGGGGGGCGCCATTCTTGGCCTCCTGGTTCTTAGCTGTGCCATGACTTTTGTAGCGCACCAGCAGAATGGTGATGAACAGCAGGCCAAAGACAGGGAATGGGTAGAAGAAAACGAAGTAGAAGAGCGAGTTGCTGGAGCAGACGACTGACATGAGAGTGGAGGCTGGGGGAAGGGACAGAGATAGGGGGAGATGAAGGGGAAGTGGGAAGGGGAGAGGAAGGTGAAGAGAAAGAAAGAGGAAAGGGGAGAGGAAGCAAGGGAGGGAGGAAGGGGGAGAGGACGCAAGGGGGGAAGAGGAAGGGAGAGAGGAAGGGAAGGAAGGAAGAAAAGGGAAAAGGGGGAGAGGAAGCAAGAGGGGAAGGGGTAGAGGGAGGGAAGCAGGAATGGGGAGAGGAAGAGGGAAAGAGGAAGGGAGAGGGGAAGGGAGGGAGGAAAGGAGAGAAGAAGAGTGAGTGAGAGGGAGAGAGGAAGTCAGGAACCAAAAAGCAAGTGTGACATTCATCTTGGGTAAAACTTTCATCTAGAAAAGCATGAACATTCAGATTCCCATCCAAGGCAGAACTGCAATTACTGTTACAGCATTTTATGTTTACTTTTTAATTTCTGTGACCCCATGGAGCCAGAAAGGCACAGACAGAGATGGGAAACAATGTGCTTTTCATTTTTAAGGATCCAGAATCAACGACAGTCCTGCCATTAAGTCACAATCAGGTTAACCGAAAAACAGTGCATGTCATCGTCAGGACCTAAACTCCTACTGGCAGTGAAAAGTACTCCTCTGCACAAAGTGACTCAAGCCTAGGCCTACCTGGGGGCAGTACAGTCACCACAGTGATGCCAGAGCGGCTGGTGGTGAGGCGGTACCACACGCCACGTGGATTCTGCAGCCATTCCTCCACAAGGCAGGAATAGTTTCCTCTGTCACTAGGCTGCACCCGCTGCACACTCAGGCTGTAAAGGTCGTAGGATGGCCTCTCAAACCGCAAGCGTGAATCCGGCCCCAGTACCTCAGCGGGGCTGCAGTTGCCATTCCCAAAAACAGCGTCGTGGCCGATGGAGAAGACGCAGTCCTCAGCCACGCCCTCGTGCACTACACGAGACACATACCAGGACACAGAGAAGCGAGAGTCCCGACTGGACTGGGATGGGATGCTACAGCCCAGCCGGATTGAGCCAGCCTCCTCAACAGTCACGTTGGTGTCAGCCTCCATAACCTGCAAGTGGACCTCTGGGGTGCAGGAGGGGCAGAGAGAGACTGAAGTGAGATACAGTCTGCTGGCATTTATAAATCCATATGCATATGTCTGTCAAATAAAGTGAGGAGAATTCATTTAATCAGAAATCTTACATTATTATGCACTTAACAGATGGTTTTATCCAAAGCATACAGTTTCACCCTTGTTCTGATGTAAGTCAGGTAACTTCTGACCAAGAAATGTGGGGTCTGGAGATTTTTTTGTCGAAAAGCTTTGGTATATTCTTACTGATTCATAGACTTAATATTTTTCTAAACCCATATCAACAACCACTAGCTTAGAGATTTGTTTGCTTCCATCTTGACACCAGCTGCTTAAAACACACACATTTGTTGCATTTGGGAATGTCCCCACATTTGTTTTCTCCAATTTAAACATTTAAGTGTAAAATAAATAAACATGCCCCAGTCTCACTCCAAATCAGCTAAAAGAAGCCATTATCGCTTCAGTCCAAACCACTGACAAACCATTAGTCAGTGAGAGCAGCCAGTTGACAGAGCCCTACTATGGCTCTGGTGTTCAATATGGTGTATAATAAATATCCAGAAATAACAGAAGTGTTTCATTCTGTTTTTTAGCAGCAGTGTAACCAAGTCTGTTCATTTATTTTTTTCAGGACTCGGGAGTTTGAATTTGACTTGGGATCACAATCATTATAACAAGTAAAGACTCTCAAAAAAATTTAGCAAAAAATCCATGTGTTTATTTTAATATCTTTAACATGTGAGCAGGTGGTACTTAAAGAATATTCAGGGACTACATGTAGCCTCCAGTTGCAGGTCAATAAGAAGCAGACAGTGTCCCAGTGAGTTACACCAGCCAGCCAGATGCTGTGGATTCTCCTGGGCATCAGGCAACAGTTGTCTCCCCTACATCGATTCTGCAGACACTCAGGCAAAGGGTCAAGCTAGCAGCGGAGTGGCTGAACCCTGGGGAATCTTAAGCTTGGTTAAGCTTTATGGTCTGAGCCTTCATATGTCCAAAGAGTTAGGCTTGTTTGCAGGCACTGATTATGAAGATGATCTTCATGATGAGTTTCTGTGATAATCCTGATTGTGGCACAGTCAAGTGATTCTTTGAACAGCAAAACGCCTATACTCTGTAAACCTGATAGAATTAGGTTGGCTGAGAATCTCAGGCCTGTTCCTCCACCTCCTGCTCATCCCCCCTTCCAATCTACCATGCTGCCTGCAAATACCAGGCATCTTTTCCATATCCTATCCAAAGCTGGGCCATCTGGCTCTGCTTGTGTGCAAGCACCAGCACATGATCTGCCCCCACACCACTGTACCTGGCTGCTTTAACTGCACTGGTGCATGTTCCACCACCACCCCACTGTACCTGGCTGCTTCACCAGCACTGGCATATGCTCCGCCCCACCCCACTGTACCTGGCTGCTTTACCTGCAAAGGTGCATGCTCGGCCCCTGCCCCACTGTACCTGGCTGTGTCACCAACACCTTGGTGAAGCCGGAGGCCTCGCGGCCCAGTAGGTACCAGTCGCCACTGGGGTCAGATAGCCACTCCTCCACCACACAGAAGTAGTAGCCTGAATCGGCAAGCTCGGCGCGGTGCAATGTTAGGCGATGCACCTGGCTTGAGAGACGCTCAGCCTGAACGCGACTTTGCAGCCGCTCCTCCTCTGCGAAGGCGCCATACTTCAGTGCAGACTCCTGGTCAACCTTCAGCAGGAGCTCGGCCTGTGCCTCACCAGCCCCGCCAGTTCCGCTCCGGCGGGTATACCACAGCACTGCATGCTGTGCCTCGAGACTGGTTTGGGCCACAATGGAGCAGTTAATCTGAATGCGGCCATCCTCCACAAGCACCACACTCTGATTGGTCTGCTGGAGGGTCAGCTTGCTCACTGTAGGAGGCAAAGATGCAAAAGGTCAGAAGGTGATACCGAAAGGTCAGAATCACTAAAAGAGGGAGATGTGGTTTCAGTGAAAGCAGTAATGCAAGGGAGTCAGAAATTTAGACAGAGGGCCTTGGAAAAAGCTTACTAGTAGAGTGATGTTTAATCCATAACCTACACAAGACATAATTTTACAACCTGCTAGAAATTATATTCAGGTAATCATGTATTTACATTTTTACCCCAGAACATTGAATTTCTCATATAAATCACAACAGCAAAGGTCCTTTCAACCTGAGAAAAAAAAGAGAAGAGAAAAGAGAAAAATCATTCCCAGGTTTTTATAAATATCTCTGCATCTATCTCAGTGTCTATCCAGAAGTGGACAGTGCAGGGGAACATCATGGACAGGATGCCAGTCCAGCATAAGACATGTAGGGATGGGCGATATGACCTCAAATTATTATCACGGTATTTTTCACTTTTTGGACGGTGAAGTATTATATCGCGGTTACTTTTTTGCAAGTTTTGGGAGGAGTAGCATGTCCCTTTATGTAAATTGAAAAAATATTTTATAATATATTAAGTACACTTTAAGATGGGTATGGGCAGTTTTATTTCAAAAAGCCATAAAATGTGTCATAGGTAATGTTTTCTCATATTTGTTTTAAAATTGTCAGAGCAACAAGCTGCTTCAGCCGAAAACAGTGCATTTTACAGTTCATTTCAAATAAAATGCAGGGTTGCCAACTTCGTTCAGCTGGCTGGAGTGAGATTTTCAATTCAAGTCTACACACACATGCAAATGCATTTACATGTATGTAACAATTTTATTACCTTCTAAACGCTTTTGATGTCGCCAATTTTAGGTTTGTAATGGAATAATATATATTTGCTGTAAGATTTCTAGCGTTAGCTAACGTGAGTTTGAAAGCCTGAGTGTCACGCCAGATGCGTGATAATTGGCAACCCTGAAAAGGTATGTTTTGTGTTTCACATGAGTTGATTTGTATAAAAATAACATTACTTTATACAGTTGTTAAAAAAGGTAATCATTGACAAACATGAAATCACCGATTATCTACATCCATTTATCCAGGATTTTATAAAATACTGCATTTGAAAACTTTTCAGCTGTAGGATTTCAGGACAGAGCAGCTGCTCTTTTAGGAACATTGCGGCTTTTTGTTAGATTCGCTGGTGTCATTAACACTAATGGCACATTAGTGCAAATAAAAGGGCTGCACACGCCGTCTTGTTTGGAGTTAGAGTTTGACATTCATTGATATGGGAAACGGGCGGTTCTAGTGTTAACAGGGCAATATGCTGAAGTAGTAAATATGTTTTACTTTATCATTTGCTTCTATATACAGTCAGGACCATAAATATTTGGACATTGACACAAGTTTTACTATTTTACCTGTTTACTGAAATATACAGTGGTACCTCAGTTCTCGAACTCATTAGAACACGAATTTCTTAAAAGTCGAACCAACCAGTTCGAAAAAAAATTACCTAGGACTCGATCTGAATCTCAGAAGTCAAACCGTGAACGCCGACCTAAGATAACTTGTACGCGCAGGGAAATGAGTCACGCGGCACGTTTGTCAGTGGAAACAAAGGGTAACACTTCAGTCTCAGCCTCGTATTTGCGGTGATAGCATCGTGCATGTTTACACTAGCTGAATACATATATTTAGACAGTAAAAATAAATTTAGACAATGATAGACAGTAACAGTAATTATAATAATATTGTCGTGCCGAGCAGGGACAGAACGGAGACAAAGGCGCAGACGTCAGGGTATTGGGGAATACGAAGTTTAATTACAAGTAAGGCAGGCAAAACGCAGACGGACAATACAATGACCAGACTGGGGAAACAAAATGAAACGCGGACTAAATACAGAGGATTAATGACAACAAGCAGAAACAGCTGATCACACAGGGATTCCACATGGGGTTAACGAGGGGGCGTGGCACACGGAAGGAGCGGACGATCGGGGCAGGACACGTTGTTTTTTTTTTTTACTTTACACATTGTTTGGATACATTTATTTTCTTACTTTACAAATTACTGTTTTGATAAATGTGCTTAGATGTTTTATCTGGTTCATTTTGTGTTTAAATGCTAAAAAAACATATTTAGGTGTAATTTTTTTTGGGCCGGGAACCAATTAATTGGTCTTGCATTATTTCTTATGGGGAAAATTCGATCAGAACTCGAACCTTTTAGGATTCGATCCGGAGTTCTGAACGGATTAAGTTCGAGTTCTGAGGTACCACTGTATTCCAACTGAAGTTGAACAATGGGCATGGACATAAAGTGCGAACTCTCAGATTTCAATTTTGGGTTTCCACATTCAAATTGGATGAAGGGTTTAGGAGTTTCAGCTCATTAACATGTCCCACCCTCTTTTTAAAGGGGCCAAAAATAATTGGACAATTCACTTAAAAGCTATTTCATGGACAGGTGTGGGCAATTCCTTTGTTCTTTCATTATCAATTAATCAGATAAACGGCATGGAGTTGATTTGAGGTGTCTTGTTTGCATTTGGAAGATTCAGGTGTGAACATACAACATGCGGTCAAAGGAACTCAGTATGCAGGTGAAACAGGCCATCCTTAGGCTGCGAAAATGGAAAAAAACAATTCGAGAAATTGCCACAACATTAGAAGCGGCAAATCCACAGTTTGGTACATCCTGAGAAAGAAAGAAAGCATTGGTGAACTCAGCAACACAAAAAGGCCTGGACGTCCACGGACAACAACAGTGGTGGATGATTGCAGAATCATTTCCATGGTGAAGAGAAACCCCTTTGTAACAGCCAACCATGTGAACAACACTGTCCAGGAGGTAGGCATATCAATATCGAAGTCTACCATAAAGAGAAGACTGCATGAAAGCAAATACGGAGGTTTCACTGTGAGATGCAAGCCACTCATAAGCATTAAGAATAGAAAGGCTAGATTGGACTTTGCAAAAAAACATCTAAAAAAGCCAGCACAGTTCTGGAACAGCATTCTTTGGACAGATGAAGCCAAGACCAACCTATATCAGAATGATGGAAAGAAAACAGCATGGAGAAGGGCTGAAACAGCTTGTGATCCAAAAAACACCATATCATCTGTAAAACATGGTGGAGGGAGTGTAATGGCTTGGGCGTGCATGGCTGCCAGTGGCACTGGGTCTTTAATGTTTCTTGATGATGTGACACAGGATGGAAGCAGCCGAATGAATGCTGAGGTGTTCAGAGACATCATGTCTGCTCAAATCCAGCCAAATGTAGCCAAATTCATTCATAATACAGATGGACAATGACCCAAAACACACAGCAAAAGCAACCCAGGACTTTATTAAAGCAAAGAAGTGGAATATTCTCGAATGGCCAAGTCAGTGATCTCAACCCCATTGAGCATTCATTTCACTTGCTAAAGACTAAACTACAGACAGAAAGACCCTCAAACAAACAGCAACTGAAAACTGCTGCAGTAAAGGCCTGGCAGAGCATCAAAAAGGAGGAAATCCAGCATCTGGTCATGTCCATGAGTTCAAGACTTCAGGCAGTCATTGCCTGCAAAGGGTTTTCAACTAAGAAAATAAAAGATTTTGTTCTACCCACTGAATTAAAGCTGAAAGTCTGCAGTTCAGCTGCATCTGACTTCTTTCTTTTAAAATTTATTGTGTACAGAACTTAAAAATTGAACAACTTTATCTCTGTCCAAATATTTATGGTCCTGACTGTAGCACCAAGTGAACGGACCTAACAGCGCCCATGGTGGCGACAATGACAATTAATCACTTTCACTTCAATAACTTAAATAAAAGACATTAAAATCACATTGTTGTTGGCCATGTAAAATTTAAATTGCACAAGCAAATTGCATAGCAGTTCACAAGTCTACACTAACTATACTGCCAGCATATTTGCACTGTTTCTCATAGTCCATAGCCTATTGTTGTCATGGGGCACAGACTAAGGAAGCAGAGGCAGGACTCAAGGAGTCGGGAAACACGGGGTTTAATTCAAAGTAAAACACGAGCAGGAACACGGAACATGCATAACCAACGAAATGATGTTAATGACGGGACTGGGGAAACATACTCAAATGCGGACTTAAATACATTAGACTAATTAACAACAATGAGAAACAGCTGGTAACACGGGGATTCCACATGAGGTAGCAAGTAGGGCGTGGTACACGGGAGGATTGGATGGGCAGGGCATGACAATTGTTGTATAATATATATTGCATTTTCACAGCCTCCCTGATGTGCTTCCTCTCCTAAAAGTCTTTTTAGATAGTTCTATTTTTTTTTTAGGTACGTGTATATGTATATTTGGGGATATATGTACAGGTATTATTTATTCCTCCCCTCCCACTCTCCAATTATCCTCACTGTTAATCTGTCTGAGTGTGCTGTTGTGTCGTACTTTGAACTTTTGGTCCCTGGAGGATGTTATTTATTCTTATTGTGTGCTTTAATGTACAGTATATGGTTGAGATGACAATAAAGGTCTTCTACTACTACCTTTTTTATTTCGTGGATTTTGTTTTTCAGTGTTTATTTTCCACAGTAGTTTTCTTGCCCTAGGTTGTGCTTCTGTTCTGTTCCTTTCTGATTGTCATACCTGCAGCTGCGAGCAATCAGAGACACGCCCCCTCAGCTACTTAAAGCTCGCATGACGATTGCTCCGTGTGAGGTATTGTTTGTAATGCAATTTCCGAGCACTTTACTCCTGTGTCTTCATTTCAGCTCCGATCCGCCTGACTCTCCCTCCTTCCTCTGCCAGTGCCTCCTGAACCCTCCTGCTCCCGTCCATCCCAGCCCTGATCTACCCCCATAGCCAGTCCTCGTGTTTCCTGTCTTCGTCATCAGACTGATCTCCCAGCTTCTCAACTGACCTTTCAACCTCGCGTTCGCAAATTACCTCGGGGTTAAATCTGATTTGGTTAAACCCCCTTAGTAGTACAGGCCACTGTTCTCCAGTGAGTCATTGTATGTTGATCTGTGAAAGTTATGGTCTGTTTGG